ACTAGGTTCAATTCACCCTCCCCGAAGCCCGATCCGCCAACCAACAGGACCTCCATCTTGTCTGGATTGAGCTTCAGTTTATTGGCCCTCATCCAGCCCATTACCTCAGCCAGGCACCGGTTCAGCACAGCCACTGCCTCACCCGGATTGGTGGAAAACGAGAGGTAGAGCTGTGTATCATCAGAGTACTGATGATTCCGCAGCCCACACCTCTTGATGACCTCTCCCAGTGGTTTCATGTAGACGTTAAACAGCAAAGGGGACAAAATGGATCCCTGTGGTACTCCATGGCATAGCTGCCATGGTGCAGAGCCATAGTCCCCCAGCACCACCTTCTGGAATCGACCATTGAGATAGGAGCGGAACCACTGCAAAGCAGTGCCTCTGACCCCCAGTCCCGCTAGCCTATCCAGAAGGATACCATGGTCGATGGTATCGAAAGCCGCTGAGAGGTCCAGGAGAACCAACAGGGACGCACTCCCCCTGTCCTTCTCCCTGCACAGGTCATTGTACAGGGCAACCAAGGCAGATTCAGCACCGTACCCGGGTCTGAAGCCGGACTGAAATGGGTCCAAATAATCAGTTTCCTCCAAGAGTGCTTGGAGTTGTCCCACCACCACCCGCTCCAACACCTTGCCCAGAAACGGGATGTTGGCCACTGGTCTATAAATAGTGGCCATCTCTGGATCCAGTGATGCTTTCTTCAGGACCAGTCGGACTACCGCCTCCTTTAAAGGGGCAGGTACCTAACCCTCCCTCAGAGAAGCGTTAACCACTTCCAAGATCCAGATCCCAATCCCGTGCTTGGCGTTGTTTATTAACCAAGATGGGCAAGGGTCCAACAGGCAAGTGGTGGGACGTACTCGTCTAAGCACCTTGTCCACATCATCAGACCGCAATAACTGAAATTCATCCATTAATTTTGGACCAGACGGCGACATTGGTATCTCCCCAGAAGCCTCTGAATCACTAGTAGAGTCTAGCTCGTGACAAATCTGAGCGATTTTCTCCCTGAAAATATATATTACCTTCCTTGAATCCTTCCACTGGATAATTTTTCCCCAAAATCAAATGCCCTCCTCTCCCCTGTCCACACATCACTTTTCACAAATATGGGTGTCTTTACTTGGCAGGGTCCTTTGAAAATAAGCATATACTTCAGAGTCTGAGACTATTGCTTATTTGGGACATCATGGAAAAGCAGCAAATTATTCATTCATTGATTTAGTAATTATTATTGTATTTTCACAGCCAGAGCAAGGGATAGCTATGTTAGGGTTTTCAGCCTCAGAGGCTAAAACAACATGACTGGCTTGGAACACAACTATACACCTAATACCAGGGCAGCAAAATTTCTTGAGGCATCCTGGATGTGGTGATAAGAGACCTGTAGGATGGGAAAAGGTAGCTGCGATGACATAGGGAATTATGTGGGGAAAGAAAACAACTAGAGTTAAGGACATATCTGTGGATGCAGACCCATCCTATTTTTAGGATTGTGTAATCCTAAAAATATTCAGAATGAACTTGTACTGAGTTTATTGTGCTCTGTTCCTAGGTAAGTATGTGTAGCATTACAGTCTTACTCCTCCATAAATGTGCCCCTAGCTGCAACCTGTCTTATCCATCCCAAATGTAATTCCAATATCTAGATCTAGGGATAAGCCTAGGGATTAATAACTTTGGTAATTTAAAAACAACAACAACCAAGAACAAAGGAAGCCTTGCTAATCCTGGAGAAATAAAAATGCATAATCCAGAGTTGGATATTAGGAATGCTGGTTGATCCAAATAAAGGAACCTAACCATGCGTTTTAGTACTTTGAGAATTCTATGACAATGAGGTTTCTAGGAACCCAATAGTGCAACACATATTGTAAATTTTAGGATTTTAAGAAGTCAGAAGCCAAGAACTATAAAATCAAAAAAGTGTTCTAGAATCACAGATACTATTAACATTCAGTATTTGAAATAAAATTAGGAGCCACTTTGGAAGGAGTTCTTTCTGCTTCCTCATCTGGTCCAGGGACTAGGAGCAGCAAAGCAGCAGCATCCTCGAGTCCCGAGGACTCTCTCTGGTGCTGATGAGCTTGTTGGCGAAGAAGGGGGGGGGGGGTGAAGGGATGTGTGAGGATTTACTCAGAAGTAAATCCCATTGTGGTTAATAGGATTTACTCCTTAGTAATTGTGTAAGTCTGTAGTCTAAGAGCATGCAATTATTATAATCTACAATACATTCCCACACTTTCCCTTGACAGCAAGTCATGTTCAGTTTGCAATTAACCAGTAAATGTTTAAGGTGTCACAGAGCTCTTTGCTGGACCCAGGCATTCCATTCTCCCCATCTTGATTTGGGCCTGAAAGACCAAGGAAAAGCATGGAGCGTAAGTTTTAAGCAAACAGAATTTGGGATACTGTACAATTCTGTTCTGAAAACAATAAATTGTACAAAATTTAAAGTATTATCGCTAATGCTGCACATATATTTGCAGATGTAAATTAGCATTAGCAAATGCATGCAATTTCTTTTTTTCTTATGGGCCTGAGCCCTGGGTTTCTATATTCCTAGCACCACCCTGGTGGTCATCAGGCTTCATTCACAGCCTAGACACTAACTGTAGATTGCAGAACCCATATGCTAGCAATCCCAGAAGTCATTTCCCACATTCTCCAAACTTTGAAAAACCGAATAGCCAATGCAGGGACATGGCTAAAGCACAGTAATCCCAGTGAATTGATATGCAGAGCCACAGGGGTGAATGGTACAGGAAGACAAGGACTAGCCCTTAAGGCAGCACCATGATACATGAGGATCGCTCAAAGCACTTATTAATGTCAGAATGGTAGAGTTTTAAAGTTTTGGCTCTAGCAGGCAAGGAACCACTTGACTTCCATTTCAGTTAGCAAAACACCTTGGGCTGGCATTGAGAAAGCACACTCCGACAATGCCTGGGAACCTCATAATCTAAACCCTTCCAATAAAGAGATTCCATACCTTTTTTTAACATGCAACTGTTTTGATTAGAAAATTCCTAATATTTCCCTTCTTTCTTTGCCAAGTTTAACCAATGTTCCTAGTTTGTAAAGAATAATGGAGGCTTCGCCATCATTCTTTACACATATTTTGAGGCTTGCTATCCCACTATGCTTCCTCCAACTTTCTTCTGATGGCCTACAATTTTCTCCCTTGCAGACCTTAAGTTGTCTTCTCTGTAAAGTGAATGAAGATGTTCACGTACTTTAATCATCATGCCAGCCAAATTAATTGATCTTGGAGCAAACTCACCCTTGAACAGAATCTTGCTTTTGGACCATTGGTTGTTGCTCTGATGCAGAGGTGGAAACCTGTTACATGGGAGGAAACAAATGGATATGCCATTCTTATCTGGATAGCAATCAAAATATGTAACTGATTTGCAGTGTTGGGGACTCAAGTTGAGCGATTTGCTCCCAAGTCCAACTCAAGTCGTATCAGCAAGTCAACTCAGACTTGACTTGGCATGAATGAATGAATGAACTCAAGATTTTTACGTTTTTTTACAACCAAGTCACAGTCTTCCGACTTATTAATATACTCAGTGCTGAAACAGGCAGCATGTAATTCTTGAAGTTGGTCGACGCTCAGAAATAAAAGGACAATTGTCTGGATAGCTCTACTGTCAGTGAGATCTCAGGAGACAATTGAAATTAAAAGTCAAGGAACTCAGGCAGTCAAATGAAGAGTGCAAACTCAGCAAGAGATACCAACACTTCTAATATAGAAGCAGGTGGTGATGACAGAGGACTAAGGAAAAAAAGGTAGGACAAGAGAGAAGGGATTGTGGGCTTGCTCAAATAGGACAATAGAACCTATATTAAATGAACAGGAAAGGGCTAGGATTGGGATGGAAACAACAATTCTGGGCAGTAAGAGTTACTAGTTGACAATCAGGATGGTTGAATGACAAACGGGTGACTAAGGGGGGGGAGTCAAGTTTGCAGAGGCATAGTATCAAAAAAGGAGGGGCTCGGGTTGCTATTCTGGGGGGGGGGGTTGAACAGGAGCATTTCATTATAACCAATTTTCAATTGTTTGCATTCAGTTCATATTCAGTCTGCTTGCAGCTCTCCTAGAAGGCTATGCCTGCTAGTTTACCTAAAATCTTTCTTGAAAATACCATTTGTAGAACAGATTAGAAATACTCAAATTTGATTAATGAGAATTTATCACAAAAAGGGAAACAATGGGAAATTTCCCCTTTTAAATTCTGTACCCTCTTGAAAAGAACAATAATTTACCTTTAAAGAAAATGCAACCCCAAAAACAGCATGCTAAGCCTAATTCACCCTAAATAGACCCAAGCTATTTATTATTTATTGTAAGCCATCTCAAGATGTCTGTAGGGAATGGGATAGAAAAGCTTTTAATAAATAAGCAAGCAAGTTCCAACCTTTTAGTCCAAAAGCCAATTCCATAAGCAAAATATAGTCCAGCATCAACTCCCTTTTATGGCAGTTTTACTAAATATTAAACAGCTTTAAGTTGAAGGTAACTTAAGGACTTTCTCCTCTCATAGCACCTTACCTGTACCCTCAGATTTGAAGGAGAATCCTTTCTCTGTGTTCCAATATGGATAACTGATAGGTTGGACAGGATATACAAGAGGACTTTCCTGAGGCTACACTACAGTTGTGGAATTAAATCCTGCAGGTGGTTTGTTTAGTCTCCTCATTTCAGATTACAGTGAAGGTAATTTTGTTTAGACCAGTTTTTCTTCACCTTTTTTATTAACCATAGGATTTTAATGCTTAATGTATTCTTTTATTTATCCACCATACAGTCTCTTTTTGAGAAGGGGTTGTTAGTGGCTATTTTATTAGTGCAAAGGTGGTGTAACAGACTTGAACCCTAAAAAGCCAGGCCTGGGTTTCTAGCTCTTTAAAATGCTCATTTTGCTTGGCAGTCAAGAACAGTGGCTTACAACAAACAATAGAGCTTTAGTTAGCATCCCCCTGACCCTGACAGTCTGCTTTCATGAAACTAAGGAGTTTCCCTTGCTGATATTAAGATGGCACAAGGAGCACATACACAGCACATTTGCGGCCTTGAATGTTCCTTATCAGCATTTACTTCTGCAAGCAAAAGGCAGTCATGAGCCCTTGCTTTGATGTTTAGACAGAGATGGAACCTTGGCCATGTAGAGAGGAATACTCCTTACTAGCTTGCTGTACTTCATTCTCTTAGTACCTGTGTAAATAATAGTATCAAAACTATTCCAGTAATCATATCTTTTAATTATGTAGAATGCTGTATGCAAGCATTACAATGTTGTACATCTGTAATCTATATAAGCTAACCACTTTCTTTGTGCTCCGGTTCAGACTGTTTCTGAGGAGGATTATTCTGCTGTTTCTATCTGAACCCTGCTGATTGGAATCCTACCTTGCAGGGGTCCCTGCTGTGTGGTATAAAAGGCCTGTTTTTTACACTAGCCAGACATTTTGGAAGTCTAGCTAGCTTTGGATATTATTGCAATAATATTTTCCTTTTTTGTAAACCTGGAGTTGGCATATCACTCCCTTGAAATCCCAAAAATCCTACTGCCCACAGCTAGGCATACAAGTTGATTTTACAACATGGATGCTTTTTGCATATATGCACTGATCTGAAGCAATGATTGCTGGAGTTTCTGTTAACTTGGGTCCTTTACTGCTAAAAGGAAAGAGCAACTGAAAAAATCATGAAGTGGTAACATGCAAACAGTTTATTAGAAAGCAAGTCCAATGATGATGATGTCATAATTTTTATTAAGTCATAATTGTTACTATTTCTATACCACCCATAGCTGAACCCTTCTGGGCAGTTCACAACATTAAGTCACCCATCCAGATTTCAACCAGGCCCACCCTGACTTAGCTTCCAAGATTAGGCAGGATCAGGCACTTCAGGCTATATGGAATTCTTTGACAGTAGCAGTCACATACAAAAATAGTAAATTTTAACTGGAGGTAGTGTTTGTGAAGAGCCTAAGGACATTAACCCAATTGCCTATTTTAGAGGGCATTGCACATATTTTATGTCTCATCCAACATTTTGTTCTATCTTGTGGTTTCATTACAATTTCAATAACAACAATTTGTAAACTCATGACACAAAAAGATGAAAGGAAGTATTTAAATATTTTAAATAAATGATCTTTTGGTTATGGGGATCTTTTTTCCCCATTCATGCATTTGCACTGGTTTCAGATAGGAACTCATGGCCTTTCCTTTCAGGGGTAAATTAGGAGGTTATCAGAACTGTGGTACATGGAAGGGATTCCCCCTTCCTGAGGTTCCTATCCTTATCAGGTTCCCCATGGCTGTTATTTAACAGAATGGAATGTAAAAATTAAAGAAACCCAACACCCAAACTGCTAGGGTTTAAATAATCCATCCATTATTTTGTCTGTCTCTCTCTGGCTAGGGAAGAAGTGCTGGAAAACAAACTCTTTATAACAGACATACCTGTGGGGTGTCATGTCCTTGAACATGCTCTTGGTGTGGCTGAGTCACTGTACTAAGTGATACTTGCTGGTTTACAGGTGCTGCAGCAGAACTCTTAGAAGCCACCTGCTTCTGGACAACTGACTCTGCTGATAACACAGATGCCTGGCCCACTGACTGCTGCTGAACATATGCTGGCTGTACCGGTGAAAGGGCAAATGACTGGTTACTGTCAGCTGGCTGGAATGTGTGAGACTGCTGGAGGAGACTAGCACTGTGCAGTAGCCCTGACAGTTCTGGTGGTTGTTGCATTGAATATGCTTGTTCCAGCTGTTCCGGCACAGAAGATACAGTCTGTAACATGTTTGGGACAGACTGGGGGATTGCGGCTTTGAGTGGCTGAGGAAAAGGATGCTGGCTTAACTCCTGGAAAGGAGGCTGTGGCTGCATTTGTGATATAAAAGATGGCTGAGATGGGACAAAAGGAGCCTGCAGTCCTGACTGTTGTCCTTCTACAATTCTGTGTACCATGTGAGGAGGCTGTAGCTGCTGGTGCACTATGCCAGAATCTTGCTGTACCAGATATACCGGCGGCTCAGGCTGGTGCTGCTCAGAAGAATAGGCATGGACTTCCATTGGCTGAGCTGAGCAGAGTGGCTGTTCCATGCAGCCAGTGTCACCATCCTTCATCATATATAATGATTGCTCAGGAGAGTGCACACCAAAACTTGGCTGATCTGTGACCTGCACTGCTAAGTGAGCCTGCTGCACCTCTGGAGGGTGAGCAAGATATGTTGGGGGCTGGGTTATGTATGCTGCCCGCCCTTGGTAAAAAGGCTGAACTGGATATGTTGGTGGATCCAAGGGCTGCCCTGAATAGACCCTGGGAGCTGCATAAACCCGTTGCTCTGGACATGGAGGTTGATCTGAACCCTGTACTGTGTAAGTGACATGCATCTGACATGCAGCTTGCTCTAGGCCCTGCAGCTGGCTTGTTGGCTGAATTTGATGTGTCAGCTGCTCTGCAGCTGGTAGCTGGTGTGGGAGCTGTGGCGGGTATATTAGCTGCTCTTGGCCTTGCAGCTTGTATTGTGTTTGCACAGGGTAAGCCACCTGTTCTGGAGTTGAACCTGAGAGCTCAGCCGGCTGCTGCTTTTCCATGTCTTGCTGAGTCCCAGCTGGCAAGTGCTCTATGGAGCTGGCATGGAGAACAAACTGCTCCTGTTTCTGCTGTTGCACAGGCAAGTGAAATAACATCTGCTGTGTTACACAAGGATGTTGATCTGTGGATTGGTGCATCTGAACAGGCTGCTGTTCTTGCTGGGGCAGGGAAGCCTGTGCCAAAGTATCTAGGGGCATTCCTGGATACTGCAGACCCTGCTGTGTTGGTGCCATAGTCTGTGGTATGGAAGACACCTGGTGAACAGACATAACTTGCTGCGGCTGCTGAACGGGACCCATCTGCTGAGGTTGCTGGAAGGAGATCTGCTGGGGAACTTGCGGAGACTGCTGAATGGAGCCCAGTTGTTGTGGAACTTGTGGGGACTGGTGAATAACTGCTGCCTGCTGAAGTTGCTGGACAGATGCAACCTGCTGAGGAACATGCTGGGGCACCTGCTGTGGCTGCTGTACAGATGCCATCTGCTGAGGTATCTGCTGCGGCTGCTGCATCAATGACACCTGCTGGCCCTGTTGCATGGAGACCACCTGCTGGGGAACTTGCTGGGGCTGCTGTGTAGCCACCAACTGCTGAGGAATCTGCTGTGTAGATGCAACCTGCTGCGATGCTTGCTGACTCTGTTGCACAGGTGCCACCTGCTGGGGAACTTGCTGGGGTTGCTGAGTGGGTATGACACCTTGTGAAACTGCCTGGAGTGGTGAAGAATTAGTGAGGCCCTGCCCTAAACTTTGTATGCTGCTGACAAACTGAACTGAAGGCTGCCCCTGTAGCACAGGTGAATGACTAGCAGGCACCAAGTTGGCAGATGGATGCTCTAGTTCCACCGACACTGCAGTAGCTGAAGCCTGGTTCCCAATTCTAGCAGTCGTCAACTGTATGTTCGTTGACAGGTTCTTGTTCACCATCTGTGGAACAGGTATAGTCTGAGGAGAAGTGACTGTCAAGATCTGCTGAGGAACGGCCATGATGGATCCATTCAATGGCTGCCCCTCTGCATTGTAGGATACCTGTGTATCTGGAGGCTGGCAGGGAAAGAAAGGAGATTAAACTGATGATCTTTGCAGTAAGATTTACTCTACAGAACCTCTCTTCATGCCCAGCAGAATAACTTTAGAATACCATCGCCATTTTACAGGCAGCATTCAGGTCAGGCTGTGCAAGTTAACAGCAGCCTGTAACACTCCATCACCCTGGCAACACACAATGAATGCTCTAAAATGACAACCTGATATACAACTTATATGTAGAGCTGCTATTGTTATTATTATTATTAATTATATTTCTATACCACCCATAGCCAAAGATCTCTGGGTGGTTCACAACATTGAAGTCCCCCATCCAGATGCCAACCAGGCCTGACCCTGCTTAGCTTCCAAGATGAGGCATGATCAGGCCCTTCAGGCTACATGGAAGCACCTCAAAATGATTTCAGCAGCACTTTAGAAGCCAAACTATTGTTACATAGAAACATAGAAACAGAGCAAGTCAGAAGGAGCCTCCCGGGCAATCTAGTCTGACCCCCGGCTCCAGCCGGCTCCGCTCATGACATGCCCACCATGTGCATGTCCAGCCTGTCTTTGAACACCCGCACCGATGAGGCCTCAACCACCTCCCGTGGAAGCCCATTCCACACCCTTGGTGTCCTGACTGTCAGGAAGTGCTTCCTGGCATCCAAATGGAACCTTGGCTCCCTGAGCTTTGCTCCGTTGGAGCGCGTCCTGCCTTCCTCTGCAGGGGAGAACAGGTCTCCACCCATCTCCGTGTGAAATCCCCTCACATACCTGTATGTCGCCAACATATCCCCTCTGAGTCTCCTCTCCTCCAGGCTGAAGAGACCCAGTTCCCTCAGTCTCGCTTCATACCCCATCTCCCGCAAACCAGCCACCAGCCTTGTGGCCCTACGCTGCACTGACTCTAACCTGGCTATATCCTTCCTGTAAATGAGGGACCCAAAACAACACAATACTCCAGTTGCAGGCGCACCAGAGTCGTATAGAGTGGTAGTAATACCTCTCTCAATCTAGAAGCCATACTTCTGGCTATGCAAACAAGGGTGGCGTTCGCTCTCTTGGGCACCGCATCACACTAATGACGCATGTTTAGTCTGCAGTCAACCAGTACCCCGAGGTCCCTTTCACAAGTGCTGCTCTCCAGCCACTTGTCACCTAACCTGTACTTATGACAGCTATTCCTATGCCTCAAGTGCAAGACCTTGCACTTATCCACATTGAACGCCATCCTGTTGTTTCCTACCCACTTCCATTGCCTGTCCAGATCCTTTTGGATCTGGAGTACCTGCTCCTCAGTTGTGGCCGCTGTTCCAGTTTTAGTATTGTCTGTGAATTTGATCAGCAGACTGTTCACCCCTTCTTCCATGTCGTTAATGAAAAGATTAAACAGGATCGGCCCCAGGACAGAGCCCTGGGGGACCCCGCTTGTCACTGGCTGCCACCCCGATGATTCCCCACTAATGGTTACCCTCTGCTTTTGGTCAGTCAACCATGCCCTAATCCACCGGACAGTGCTTTGGTGTATCCCAAAACTCCTCAGTTTCTCAATCAGGATATCATGGGGCACTTTGTCAAAGACCTTGCTGAAATCCAGGTAAACCACATCCACTGCATCCCCTCCATCTAGCCATCTCAAAACCTTGTCGTAGAATTCACAAGGTTTGTCTGGCAGGACCTGTTTTTGCCGAAGCCGTGTTGTGTGGCTGTCAGCCTCCTTTCCCTATCTAGCATCACTAGATCTCTCTCTATTATGAGCTTTTCCATTGTTTTTCCTACAATGGACGTAAGGCTAACTGGTCTGTAATTCCCCATGTCCCTTCTACTACCCTTTTTGAAAATTGGGACCACTGATGCCATCCTCCAGCCATCCTCCAGTCCTCTGGAACTTCACCCGTTCTCCATGAGGTCTCAAAAATGGAGGCCAGCAGGTGTGAGAGAACCCCTGCCAACTCTAAGTACTCTCGGATGTAACCCATCAGGGCCTGGCATTTTTGTAATGTCCAATGCCCTGAGGAGCCCCTCGACTTCAAGGGGGGTGACTCTAATCAGTGCCCCTAAGTCCCCAGCCTCATCTAATCTCCTATACGGATCTCCCCCGTCCTGCTTTGGGGAGAACACAGAGGCAAAATAGTCATTTAGCATCTGTGCCTGTTCCCTCATATCAGTCACTGGATCTCCTTCCTCCTTATTTAGTGGTCCCACTACTTGTCTCCCCTTCCTATTTACATGCTGAAAGAAGCCCTTTTTGTTGCTCTTGATATCAGCCTTAGCTTTGCGAAGAATCCTTCTGCAATGGGCCTCCTCCCCCGGATATCCTTTTGTCCATTTGCCCCAGTACCCATTTCCTATGGAGATTCCTCTTTTGTCTAATCCCTCCAAACACTTCCTTTCCCATCCATGGCAGCACTCTCCTTCGCCTCCCCACCTTACTGACTAGAGGTATCGTCAAGGCTTGCACCTCCAAAACCTCCCTTTTGAGTGCCATCCACCCCTCAGCTCGCTTGCCTTCCAGTAACCTATCCCAGGAGACTTTCCCCCGTCTAGCCTTCAGTTGGCCCTCTTGAAGTTCCAGCTCCTAGTGCTCGACCTGCTGCACATCCCCAGTCCCCTGATCTCAAAGCAAAGGATGGAGTGATCACTCGCATCCAGAGCTCCCCTAATCTGTACTTCATCTATCAGCTCCTCCCTATTGGTCAAGACCAAGTCAAGGATGTTCCCTCCTCCTCATCTTTCGGACCCTCTGTCTGAAAAACCCTCCCTCTATAGCTTCTAGGAAGCAACGTGACCTGGCTGTCACCACTGAGTGAGTCTCCCAACTAAAATCTGGGAGACTGAAATCTCCCATAATTACTGTGTCTCTCCCCCGAGATATCCATAGAATCTGGTCTGTCAGGACATCATCCAGGGTCTCAAGTTGACCTGGAGGGTGATAACATACCCCCACTGTCAGGTCTCTTTCCCTGTCAAGACCCCTAAGTTTCACCAAACTGCCTCTACTGAATCCCCATCTGTGCTGCATTCTATCTCACTGCATCCCTTCCCTGACTTATAAAGCCACGCCCCCACCTCTCTTTCCCTTCCTGTCCTTTCTAAAAAGGTGATACCCTTCTATGTTCGCATTCCAGACTTGCCTTTCATCCCACCAAGTTTCTGTGATTCCCACCAGGTCATACCCTCCTATTCCCAGGAGAGCTTCAAGCTCTTCCTGCTTATTACCCATGCTCCTAGCATTAGTGTACAGGCACCTCAGCTCCTTCCCACCGCTTCCTTTCCTTGGAGTCCCCAGCCTCCTCCTTCCTCCCATCCACCCTGATACCTGGCCCCTCTCTGTAGGAGTCCTGTCAGTCCCTGCAGTACCTTTAAAACCCTGCTCCCAGAGCCCTGATCCTCTCCCCACACTTGTCCAGTGCAGACATGTTTCTGGGGGGCCTGAACCCCGCCCCCCCGGCTCAGTTTAAAGTCTTCTGGACGAAGCTCACTAGAGCATCTCCAAAGAACCCTTTTCCCCATTCTCGTGAGGTGTAACCCATCCCTTGCCAGAAGTCCATTGGCAAGAAACCAGGTGCTGTGGTCGAGGAACCTGAAGCGTTCCTTCTGGCACCAAACCCTAAGCCAGTCGTTCACCTCGGAGACCCTCCTGTCCCTTCCTGGCCGAAATCCCCAGACTGGCAAGATTGATGAGAAGCCTTTAGCTCCCTGAGTTTCTTTCCCAAGGCCTTGAAGTCCCTGGTGATCCCAACCACACCCTGCCTGGCCACATCGTTTGTGCCCACATGGATCACCAGGAGCGGCTGGTGACCCCCGGAGCGAACAAGACGCTCCACTCTGTCCTTCACATGCCGGATGCGTGCGCCCAGCAGGCAGCAAACCTCCCTTGTCTCCAGGTTAGGGCGGCACACCGCCGCCTCAGTGCCCCTCAGCAGGGAGTCCCCAACAACAATCACCCGCCGTCCTGTCTTCCCGGTTGTGGTGGGCGGCCGTGCCCTGGCCCTCACCACTCCTGCAGTGGCCCCCTTGCCGCTTATGGTCCCAGGCTGGGGGTCCTGCTGGTCCCCCAAAGCCTCATCAGCCCCAGCCTCCCCAAGCAGAGAGAACCTGTTTCCCAGCTCCAGTTTGGTGCCAAGAGAAGGAGGAGGCCGTGTTGGCCTCCTCCTCCTGTGGGTGACATACCTCCATGTCTCCTCGGCTGCTCCTCCTGTGGCCTCTCCCTCAACCCTCTGTCCATAGCAGGGCTGCTCCCGGCGGGCCTGGAGAGCTCTCTCAGCCCTCAGGCACCTCACCTCCTCTAGCAGGACCACCAGCTTGCACCTAGGGCAAGTGTATCCCTGCCTCTCCTGGGGGAGAAGGGCGAACATGTCACAGCTGTCGCAGCAGACAGCAACACCTGTGACTTCCGCCAAGGCCATCTCCTGGTCTGCCATTGGGAACCCTTCCGAGACCCTACCTTGGTCCCCCGCCTTGCCTGTCCTACAGTACCCTTCACTTGTCCGGTTCTCCCAGACAAACCCCCACACACAAACACACACAAGGATAAAATAAAATGTAAATTGGAGGAAAAACAAAGCACAGCACCAAAAACAAAAAAACAAACCCCCCCAAAAAAACAAAGAAAAACAAAGCAATCAAACAAAACGCATTTTCAAGTGTAGCTTGCTTTAAATCTAGGTATCCTTCCTAGCCAACCCTTGATGTTATTCACATTGTTACCTCAGCTCTTAAGACTGTACCACCAATACATGAGATTTCTCCTGACTGACTATGCTAACTTGCATCCAGCTCAGTCTAATAACGGCCTGGCAGGGTTACACTGCGATCCTTTTCAGCAGCAGACGCTAATCCCGAGTAATAAAAGGATCCAAAGAACAACTTCATCTAACACTATTCATGTTTTTAAAGCAGCATGCTTTAAACTGTCTGCCTTTGTGCATACATGTGCTAAAAAGGCATCCATGAGAAGCTGATTAAGAACATGGTGATGCACTTAAGACCAAATAAATCATTTAAAGTAGTGCTGTGTACTGCTCGCTTTTCTACTGCAAAGTGCTGTCAGACAAGTGAAATTTGCAACACAGAAACACCCTGATGTAAGTTTTTAACTCATCTTCCCCTCTAGTGCCACAACTCTTGTGCCCCCTATCAGTGCTTCAGGCCTACCTCAGAAAGATTGTTCTGGGACCTTTGAGGGTGAAGAAACTTCTTGGGGAGGGGATAGTTTCAGCAGGAAGGGCACAACTGAGAGAAGGGGTAAGTATCTCCTCTACCACTTTTTCATTGCAAATTACACTCTCTTGAGGATCCTTGGCAGTGTAAAAATGATCATCTGGCTAATGTTATATGGAACAATGTTGGAACATGTGGTCTGACTCTTAGTGAAAAGCAAAGCTCCAGCACTTCCTTCAATGCTTGCTGCCATTTTGTGAATTTCCCCACCTCTATCTGCAATCTTTCTTTAATAGTTTATGCTGGGGAGCAAAATTCACACATCCAGTTCCCATGCGACTTCTTTTGGCAGCATGCATCTAGACATATAAAGAACAAGAATATTAGCTGAGTTCTTTCCCACTTTTGCCTTGTCATATGAAGCAACATAGAAGGGTATTGTTCAATGGCTAAAATGAGTTCATGGGTACTCAGTGATTATTTGGAAATCTGTCTGTTTGCAAGACAGATCATTGCTAAAGGTACTAACCATCCTTGGTGTGAACTGCTGAACTGCAACAGGGGAGGTCTGGGCTTGTGGAGCTGCAGGGGGTGCCAAGGTATGGGTAGGTGGAGCTGAAGGCTGATTCTGGATTAGTGATAAAACATTGGGGTGGGCTGCATTCGTTGGCTGCTGCTGCACTTGAACCTGTATAAAGAATAATTAATAGACTGTTCTTAGAAATATGAAGTGATTGTCTGTGTTCCAGCTGCCCTGGTCTCTTCTGCCCTGTTTGCAGCCTCCTGTGGCCTATTATCTGGACAGAATGAGACACACTCCTGAGACACATTCCCTATAGCACAAACTGGTTAACCAAAGGTAATCCACAAAGCAAAATACTGTTACAGCATTAATAGGAAATATAAGGAGGTGTTTCAGTCCATCTACTGTACCTTTCATTAATGAACCTATGAAAGATTAATCCAGTTCAAGAGCCTTTTAGATTTTTTAAAAATCAATTTTAGGTTATTAAGAACCAGTGTGGTGCAGCAAATGTTGCTAGAGCATGACAGGTGAGATTCGAATTCAAAATCTTTCTGAAAACATTAGCTCTTGAAGTGGCCTTAAATACACGATTTACCTTTGGAACTCTAGAGTTCAATGTTAGCCAAGTTTTAAAGACATGGGCCCAGTTCATATGCCATGCCAACCTACAATGTTTGTAATTAAGTAAGTACATTGTGGATCGTAAAGTAGCATGATGGCATGCTGCTTTCTGCAGAACCCAAGGTTTTAAAAATGCATGAGCTGTTGTTACATGAGATTAAGGTTACAGAAAGTTTGTTTTTGAATTCCTGTAATGCAAATAGTTGGAATGTAGAGTTTGATTAAAAATGTGTCTCTATTTTTTATTCCTCATTAATTATAGACATAAATGCATACAAATAGATTGAATAAGGTTCAGCAACTAGAGCTTTCTACATTTGTTACTGAAAAACCCTACCACAAACATTTGTCCCCTACAGAAAGACCTAGAGAATCACTGGTAGGTGTTTTCCTCCTCTCATACAAACGCACACACTCAGGCAAGCAAACATACCACCCAGCCAGTTTGGGAATCATTGAGTTAAGAGTGCCTCATGACTCTCTGGCCCACTGACAATTTTCAGGTGAAAAGTAAATGCTGCAAAAATTGTGGCACATGCAGCTGGGAAGAAATTCTAGACATCTTTGGTGCAGATAAGGTTTAACCAGAATTTTTTTTTGCCATTGCCAATATATTCTTTGGAACAGCCATCTAGTATTCTAACAGTACTCCTACCTGCTTGTTGTTCAACCCCCATAAAAAGCTAGGAACATTGCTCTTTGCTTAAAATATGCTGGAAAAAGTCAAATTATGTCTCTAATCTACAGCCTATCTGCTTCTATTTACTTACAGACTGTGTCCTTACAGGCACCTAGCTGAAATAAATTGCAATCAGGAAGTTTTAACACCCCTTTAAACCCACAAAAATGGGTTTCAGGTAAGATTTTAAAAGTCAGAAAGCTGATTATGTATTTTAAATATTTGTTTGCTTTCCAAAATGGTTGATCAGAATAGCTAATAGGGCTGTCTTATACAAGAAGCAGAATGTGGATGCAGAATGGACAGTGGAGATAAGAAGTCACATTTTGAAATGCTTTTGTATATGAAAACTCCATGTAAGAAATTTTAATTTATGTTTGTTGATTTATATTCTATTAAACTCAAGATTCCTTACAACTGTTGAAAGTTTTTATGTAACTCACAAGCTGACAAGTTCCTGCACCAAGTGTTCAGAACTTCAAACAACCCCCCTTGGCTCTCTAGTGGCCCATAAGAGGACATGTCTCTTATGACTCTCTTTTTTCCAAGCACTGATTGTTGACATACTAGTTTTTGTGCAGCTTTTTCCTTATACAGAAGGTTGAAATCCCTCTCCCAAAGCTTTCTTACCATTAGTAAGAGCTTTAAGCAAAAATGTGTTGATATTTTTGCCCCCTTCCCTTTTGCCTTCAACTCTGTCCTCTACTAGAATGCAACTCCTGAGAGCTTCTCCAAAATGGAATTTGGCCCTCAAGCTGAAAAACATCCTACAACCCCCTCCTGCGTTAACAGAGCTTGGCTGAATGATAGAATAAAACAAGACTGGTGCTTTCTATCTCTGCATTCAACACAATTACAATAATCTATGCTGAAACTCAATACAACTATCTACACAGAAAAGACACCACCATAACGTAGCAGTATTATCAGACCAGGTATTTAAGAAAATTATATATCTTACCCCTGTCGTGGACTGGTAATGCCCCACCAGCTGCTGAGAAGTATAGATATGCCCTTGAACACTGTTGTCAGCTTGTGAGAGGTTGAGGGCTTGCTGGGTGCCTCTCATCTGTTCTGAAGAGAAGGCCAGGCTATGTTGGCTGGAGGTATCTGACAGTATAACTGATCCTGTCCCTTTTTCAGATAAACTGTCAGCTGTTTCAGTGTTAGAAGACAGAAAAGACTGAATATTAGTTCTAATACAGTCCCACTCCTCCCCACCACTGCCATATGTAAACACACACACGTGTGTGTGTGTGTGTGTGTGTATTAAAGCAAAATGCACCATCAAACATGCACCATCTACTAGGATCAGACATTTCCTCTAGAAATAACACAGAAAACATGAGACTACTTTCTAGAAGGGGGGAGGAAAAATTGGCTCAGACACTTTTTTTAAAAAAAAATAGCAGCATGTTGCTGCTAGCTGGCACCAGTAACCTTTTCACTTGCAACATTAGAAGCTGCCTTATATAAAGTCCAGTTCAGCATTACCTAGACCACAAATGGACAGCTTCTGGTCCTTCAAATGTTTTGGCCTACAACATTCATGATTCTTCAGCATCAGCTAGGGCTGATGAGAGTGGTAGGCCAAAACATCTGGAAGGCCACAAGTTGCTCACCCCTGCTCTACACAGACAGACAATGGCTCCCCAGGTTTTCAGACAAGAGACTGAATCTGGGACCTTTGGTGTGCAGAGCATGCACTCCACCATGGAGCTACACTAGCCCCAAACCTCTTTGGACTGTTAGCTTATGTTTCTACTATGATCTGATGCAACAGAGTAGACAGGATGTTGAGCTTAGAACAGGGTTCCAATCCCCAAAGAAGCCATAAAGTTCATTGTGTTAGGCTCTCCTAGCCTAATCTAACTCACAGGATTGTTTCAAAGACAAAATAAGAAAACCCTGCCTATCAGAATGGCATTCTATACAGGCTGAGATATACCAGGCTATTTAAATTCTAGAGCCTAGGTCTTTTGATCAAGGAACCAAAGCTTTTCACTGAACTCTGCTCAGCTCTGCCAGTAACACCAACACACCACTACGTCTGATTTAAAGAAAGGATGTAATCTTTATGAAGCCTACCTGCCTTCCTTTCTGTGTTGGTAGAGAAACTGTGACCCTCCAGTTGTTCAAGTGCAATTCCCATCAGCCCTTGTTAGCAGAGGCTATGGCAAGAGACCATGGGAGTTATACAACATCTGGAGCACCACATATTCCCCATTCCTACTACACTGCAAGGGCTGCATCCTTATTTTGAAAACAGAGCTAACTGCAAAGTAATCAAATCATATGCTAATCGAATACTCTGGGGAAGCAGAATACCAAAAATGAGGGTTAGATCCAGTGGTGTCATTCTACAGACAGAACTGCTTCTATTGACAAAAATGGGAGGGGGTGATTCCCCTATCCTCCCCAGATCCCTACATGCCCTCAAAATCCGCCACAGAGCACTGGGGAAACCTCTGGAGCAGAATTTTGGGTGACACAGAGTTTCAGGGTAAAGGAGAGAGGAACAAATTTAACTAGTGAACTCTCACTACTGTGGTGCTAGATTTAACCGTAAGTCTTATTTGCAACATAACATTAGTATGTATTATGAATAATCAGATGCATTATTCTATAATAATTGTACTAATACTTGAAATTGGAGCATTTCAGTGGTTTCATGTTGAATGAAGACCAGCAGAGAAGAGGAGAAGCTGGCAACTCAAAATCATATTAATCTTCTGCAAGTTGTTTTTTCCCCTGTATGATAAAAGATTGTATTCCTAATCACAATGCATGGGTGTGAAAGCTGGATGGTGAAGAAAGCTGACAAGAAGAAAATTGATCCATTTGAAACAGAGTGCTTGAGGAGCCTTTTGTGAATATCCTGGACTGACAAAAAGGCAAACAACTGGGTCCTAGATCAAATTAAGCCAAAACTTTTCCTAGAAGCAACAATGACAAAACTGAGCCTATCATACTTTGGACACATTATGAGAAGGCAAGACTCACTGGAGAGGACAATCATGCTAGGAAAAGTTGAAGGCAGAAGACAAAAGGGAAGACCAAGTCTGAGATGACTTTATCCATAAAGGAAGTCACAGCCTTGAACTTGGAAGAGCTGAATGGAGCTGTCATAGAACAACTTTTTGGAGAGTTTCAGTCATACAGGCCCTTGTATCTTATCTCCTAGGGAGAAAGCAGCTGCATTGGACAGCAATTCTGAGCAGTCAAACAGCTGAGAAATAAATGTTTAACAGTGCCTTTCTCCTCTCACTGGCTACCTCTCAGGTAAAAGAAACATGGAACCATACCTAAAGTGTAGTTCCACTCTAACCTATACAAGAAGATTCCTACTTGCCAATGAAGTGAAACATTTCTAAACAAATGGTCGAAAACCACTCTGACCGTATCTACTCAGCTACTGTTGTTGTTCTCACATAAAAACTCAAAAGACCATTGCACAAATTAATGTACTCCAGGGAAGTGGGTTAACATGAGCTTCAACAAGTTATAATGTATATGCATTTGCCAACAAAGTAAACCAGTCATGGAAATAAATGCCATAATGTATATGGCATTGGTCAACAATGCAAACTAGTCACAACCACAGAAATAAGTCACAGTTTACACACTAATTACTGTCTGATGAACTAGTGAATAACTAACCCATGAGGCTAATAAAGCGTTAAGGAAAGACATTTGGCAGAACAATAACACCACAGATTTAGGAAGACAGACTGTACTTAGCTGCTCATTACCAGTGAGGGAGGAGCTGTGCTGCATTTGTTGAATGGTCTGCTGTCGGACGTGTTGATCAACCTCTGTTTCCTCACATTCAGTCTTGCTTTGCTGGGCAGGAGTGCTGAATGAGGAGCCCTGAGGCTGGAGTAATGGTAGTCCACTTGGCAGCTTGCTTTGAGAGTCCCTCCTCTCCTCCAGGGAGCTCACCTGCCTTCGTTCCCTTATCTTCTTGATCAGGGCAATACGATCCCGGATGGATTTAGCTACAGCTTTGGAGTCACTTTCATGGAAGAATCCTGACTTAACCTACACATTCAAAAAAGCAGAGGGCAGTTAAATATCATTCTATTTTTCCTATCAAGAATCCATATGTGCTTAATTATGTTATGTTATTAGAGTAGGTACCAGCAAGAGACCCTCCCTCTTGCTGGCACCTACTCTAATCCATCCCATTGTAATGGACTTGCATAGACCATTTATCAGAGAACTATCAGACCCTTTATCTAGAATGTCAGACTAAGAACAAGACACTCGCCCTCAAATTTAAACGCTGCTACATTTTGGATATAGGTTATCAAATTAAGCTCTAATAGATTAAATAGATCAATACTAGGGAGTAGTCATGTAGCTGTTCCAATATAAGTATCTTACACTAAATTTCCCCTGGAAAACTTTACTTTCCCTGCTTTAGATGTTTTGAGAGTATAATTATTATTCTAGAACGTTTGATAATTGATTTAGCTTGTTAGAGGGTGTGAGATAGAAAAAAGATAAGCCTTAGCATCACCATATTAAAGTTCTAGATAGAAAGTACAGACCTCACTGCCAATCCTACTCTAGTGTAACAGATTATCAGGAAAACATTTATAAAGTACAAAGGAGTTTGTGCTACATACTTGAAGTATCCATGAAAGAATTTCAACTAAAGGACATGCCTGGGGACATACCTGGTTCACACATAAAACTAACACATAGTTTGTTTAGCCTATAGCGAACCCAGGGGTTCTTCCCTTACCCTGTTTGGCAGAAAACTATAAAAGCCATGTTTTTATGATTCAATACACTGAATAGATTGTTTCCTCCTATTTCCTGATCTTTCCTTGTATCACACATGTCTCTGTGTTGCTACAGTGTTGGCTTGGGTTTTTAGCCATTATTCCTTTCACCACTGTAACCTGGCAAAACAATGAATAACCTACAGTTCTGAGTTACCATGTAATGAAAACCAACAGTTTAAACAACTCAGATTTCACAACCCAATAGCAAACAATGGGTTGTCTTTCTGAGTTACTCATGGCTAGCAATCTACGGTCTATTAGCATGGCTGGACTGCATATCAGAATGGAATAAACCATGGGTTAAATAATACATGGGCTGGTGTTACGTGCAAACCAGGTCATGGATTATATTTTCAAGTAAGTGGGATGATGATTTATTACAGTGGTACCTTGGCTGACGAACTTTATTGGTTCTACGACTCTGGTCGTGACCCAAATTGGTTGTGAGCCAAGTCAAATTTCCTCATAAGATTCAACATAAATAAGGTTAATTAGTTCTGTAACTAATTTTTTTAATCAGAAAAATCTGAAGCAAAGTGACAAAGAACAACAGAGATCACAGTCATCTCCCCTCTCCAAGCACGATCGCAGCCATCCCCCTGCCCCCGCATGTCCGCAATTGCGCCTGTGTTCCCTACATGAGAATGACAGCAATCGCGGCCATAGATGTGCGCAATCACTGTCACGGTCAGGCAGGGAGGATGGGCGCAATTGTGGCCATCTCACCCCCTCCAAGCACGACCACAATCGCACCCATGTAGGGAAGATGGGCACAATCGCAATTGTCACCCAATGCGAAGTTCACGACCCGAGGCAAAATTTTACTGAAATTTCTGTTCGCGACCCGATTTGGTTGGGAACTGAGGCCTTCATGAGCCGAGGTACCACTGTACCCCCCAATAGCCAGAGTTCTCTGGTAAGGTTAAAGGTAAAGGTTTCCCTTTGACATTAAAGTCCAGTCATGTCTGACCCTAGGGGGCAGTGCTTATCTCCGTTTCTTAGCCGAGGGAGCCAGTGTTTGTCCACGGACAGTCTCCATGGTCAGCATGACTAAACACCAAAGTGCACAGAATGCTGTTACCTGCCCACCAAAGTGGTACCTTTTTATCTACTTGCATTTGCATGCTTTCGAACTGCAAGGTTGGCAGGAGCTGGGATGGAGCAACGGGAACTCACCCCGTTGTGCAGATTCAAGCCAGCAACCTTTCAATCAACCAGCCCAGCAGCACAGCGGTTTAAACCACTGCACCACCTGCATCCCTCTGGTAAGGTTACAAAAGATTAAAAACCTTAAAATACAAAAGATCATATAAAATCCATTTATATACAAAAATGTAAGCACTCAAAAGTAAATATCCTGGGACCAGGACTGCTGTAAAATACCAGAGGGTAGAAATCTTAACCTGGTGCTGAAACGATTACAACATTGATGCCAGGCAAACTCCAGTGAGGAGAGCATTCAGCTACTTAAGGGTCTCAGATGATCATCTAGCTTAGGTTCATACCAGGAGAGGCACGCCATCAGGCATTTAGGTCCTGAGCTGTGTAAGGCTTTATTGGTCAAAACCAGCACACTGACTTGGGCTGGGAAACATACAAGCAATCCAGTGCAAGCAGGCCAGATAATGGACCACGTATGGAATTGATCCCCATAATCAACCTGACTGTCATGTGTTTCACATGCTGCAGTTTCCAAAAGGCTAGCATCACAGAGTGCACTGAATTACTCTAACTTGGAGGTTACCGAACTGGAAACTACCACGGGCAGGTTACCTGTGTTCAGATAAGGACAGAGCCAGGCCACCAATCCAAGCTAACACAACTGAAGCTATCTGAGCTTCAAGTGACAATGATGACTCCAAGGGAACCTCCAAGCTACAAACCTGCTCCTTCAGGGGGAGTGCAGCCCCATCTAGAACAGGCTGAGTTCCTGAAGAACTATCCACCAGCAGCATTTCAGTTAGTTCTGGACTCAAATTTAATTTATTAGCCCTCATCCAGTTTGTCTGCATCAAATGATAAGACATTGAAACATAACCACTTGTTAGTTGTGCTGTCAAAGCAGAAGCTCTTGCCTGCCAACTGCTCAAAGTCACTACCCAAATCTAGCCAAAAAGAAAAAAGAAAAGAAGGAGGGGGGAACAAAACAAATACCCCTGAGCAGAACATTATAGTATCCTGTGAGGCAAGAATTCAAAGAACATCATTCCTAGCAGGTGGGTGGGTGATGGTTAAGCAATAGTCCCTTGCATGCATACACATATGCATACAAAGAGGTGAACAGATGCAGTGCTATGACTCTTTTCTGTATCATCAGCTGTTACTTGTCAGGCTGCCATGCAGTCAAATGTTTTGTGAAAACAAAACCAAGGCAACAAGTGAGGAAGAGTGAAGAATCTACAGTACAAACAGATAACATGGGCAAAGACGATAGAGGAAACATAGCCATAAAAGGAGGGAAGGAAGATACTTGGCTACATTTATACAATATCTTAATCATTCGTTGCCTGGTTTATCAGCAGCATATTGTAACTGAGTATAATAGTTCCAACCCTGATGAAATCCCAGCTTCATGAAGCTTCAGAAGCCATGTGGGAGAAACTGCTCATCCCTGGTTTCTTATCTGATCATATGATCCTCCTCAGTTTGTACAAGTATCCTGAAAATGTCTGTACAAGTACATTTCATGCCTTAAAAGTAAAGCCTCACTATCTCATTAGACAGAATGGATGCTCTTCATTAACAGCTATGATGACTGAATCATGCATTTTCATAACTGACAGAATGATTAATACATTAATTAAAAAAGAGCCTGCCCTCCAATAAGATTTATTAAAGTTACTTACAAACTAAAAGTTAGTAGCAAAATACAAAATTGCAAAAAAGAAAAATGCAAACACAGAAAAACAGTGTAACAGCAGATTATACATGTTGGATTCAACTATTACTTTTTCAGACTTCAGGGGAAAGGTGAAATGTTAGTGCATAGACACTCAACTTATGAACATCTCCTTGCATGTAGAAAACTAGAGAATCTAGAAGAGCAATTTCATGGGATGAGGGATTTGTTTCAGAAAATCAGATCCCACTCTTTCCTTGATCCCAAAGACTGCTTTTTAAGAAAGAAAGAAAAAACTGTGAAGACAGAACTTAAAATTTCATCCTAGTATGTTAGAGAAGGTTCTAGACTTGTATACTTTGGGGGGGGGGAATTGGAACTCAGTTGGGTTTACTCTATTTAATCCTGTTTAGAACTGCGCTGGAAAAAGTATTTCAACTTGTAAACCAATGCTACACAACATAGTTAAGATTTACCCTGCAAAAGACATTTGGATGGCAGCAACAATTATTTGTTTACTGGATTCATATCCCACTTTTTTCTTACAGTGAACTTAAAGTGGCCTACATCAGTCTCTTCCTCCTGCTGCTTTCAATAATATCCCTACAACAACCATGTGAGATAGGTTGGGCTTAGTGTCTGTGACTGGCCCAAATTCACCCAGATGGCTCCATGGCCGAGCAGAAGTACAAGTCAGTTTGCCTGAGTCCCAGCCCCACGCTCTTAACCACTACACCTCACTAGTTCTCCTGAATTTTGACAATACAAAGCTCAATAAAATAGACTGCAAAAGAGTAGATATAAAATGGTGCACAGCAAATGCCATGTCTGAAATGAGGCATGAGAAGTAACTAAAAATTCTGCCACATAATGGAAAAAATGGTAAAAGAAGCACTCACCATTTCACAAGACACTTCCTCAGGGACATCTATCTCCAAATTGAAACTGAACTCAATGGCTTCATTGTCTTTGTGTTTGCCTTTCAACTTCTTGGGGTCTTCCACCCAAAGCCTCAAAGCCAGGGAGGAATTCAATCCATCATCATCCTCTGCCAGTTCTACTCTGAGTCCAGTGTCTTCAGCAAAAAAGGCATGGTTCAAGAGGTCTTTAATGGACAGCCTGATGGTGAGATGTGAGAAATGACAGAGTGCATTTCATACCAGTGGTATAATGACAACTGGTGGCCTGCTCTTCACACAAATATTATACTTCCCTCAGGGCCCCTTTAACAGGAATTAAACCTATTGATTTCTTTTTTTAAAAAAACCCTCCCAGTGTGAGTTACAAATATTTAAAACAAGGACAACCAATAACTTAAATGCAGCATGTCCAAAACCTGAAAAAGACTATCAGCTAACAACTAATACAGCTGATACATTAACAGAAAGCTAAATGAAACAGAAAGACACTTTGTCTTCATAAAGGCAGATAAAAAAACTAAATAGATTTCTTGAGGAAGAGAATTTTAGAAGTAATGTATTCTACACACCATAGGGATATTGATTTAGGTTTGGATACAGAGAAGCATTAGTGGAAGAAAGTGGTTGGAAGATGATTTTCCTGTCCCAGCTCCCTGAAAGGTTTCTCCCACCCATGAAAAAGAGTCTTTAGTTGGTTTTCTATCAATCCCTTCTTCACTGAGCACATGTATTGCATTATAGCCCACCTGATTTAAGAAGGCGCTGACCTACAATGGCGGGTGAGAAAACCACTTTCCATCCAGCCCCAACAAACAGTGCTTCTCTGAATCTCTAGGGCTCCAATTCAGGAGTCTTTCAGAGGAACTAAGCAGACACCTCCATTTCACTTACCCCAAGACCATGCTACCAGTAAAAGACAAATTGCTGATAAAAACAAATAACCCTCCCCACAAAAGTCCAAAGTCTTTGTCTTTTCTTTAATAACCCATTGTAATTCTACTCCTTTTGCAGAAATTACAACACAAAATGAAGTAGTGCAGGATCCCAGTGCTTTAGAAAAGCTAGGAAGAACCAATTAACTCCTGCCTCTCTGTTTTAAATGATCAGCTCTCACACTCTTCCATGAACCAAGAATAGCCTTTCTAGGATCAAAGCTCATCTGTTTAAATATACACCAGAATGTTAATTCCTCTATTTTTTACTGGTTCCCTGGGCCTTCCACTTTCCTTTATATACAGTACCTCATGCACCCCAAACATTTTGAATACAAGCCAGGCAAATCCCAATTTAGCCATGTGATATACATTGTGAGAGCTTAATTTCCTTTGAGTTCAAAGGGGCTTATGCAGGTGCTTAGAAGTGCTATACACAGCAAGAATGCTTCACTTAATCAAGTCCTTTGTTACAAATGCCAGCAAACTCCTATTAAGAGAAAAAAGGCTACTTCTTAATTTATGGTGCCCAAAGCAACTGGAGGGGTACAAAATGGAGGACCTGCCTACCTTTCAGACTTGTTTTGCCGAATACATCCTTCAATTATTTCTTTCACCTCAGGGTCAGTCACCTTGTTAAAACTAGCAGGTTTAATGCCCTAGGAAAGAAGAGATGTGGTTGTTAATAGATAATACCCAGTAGGAGTTCTCCCTGATGCAGCTAGAGAGAATTATGGAAAATCCCCAATTTACAGTGGACCAAGTAGAGTTTTAAATAACCACACAAACACTGATCTGAAGGTTACTTGGAAGTAAGTCATACTGATTTCAGCCCAGCTGTCTTACAAACTGTGGCCATTATCTCCACCCCCTGCAATTTTGTTTGAAAATCCCAGCTATTGCTTCTAAATCAGATCAAGCTGGATATCCAGGCTTTATGCTACATTGTAAAAGGGATCAATATCCATTCTAAACTATTTGACTAATCTCTTCCTTTAGCTTTATCTGGCAATTCACACTCATGACTGTGCATGAAAATTAGCCTAATGAAGAAAAGCCTTCGATCCTTTTTTAATATAAATGAATATACAACATAGACTCTCCTGTAAAATTTTTTGACACAGTAGTGAGCATCTCAGTCCTCACTTTCCAAAAACATTTCTCTAGTATCTATTATCAGTTCCTAGAAGTCATAAAGACAGTCAATGCAATGTAGTAGCTACTCTAGTTACAGCACAGATAGGCAATCTGGTACTCTCCAGGTGCTTCAGACTACAATTCCCAAATCCAAGCTAGCTAGCTAGCTAGCTAGCTAGCTAGCTATTTAGTAAACTTCTATGCCGCCCCATTCACCGAAGCCTCGGGGCGGCTTACAACAATAAATAAATACATATAATCATATAAAAACAATATAATTGTAAACGCCCTGGCCAAGGATATAAAATCAATAAATAAGCTAACAATTAAATTCCGTTTAAATAAAAAGGTCTTGGCCTGGTGCCGAAAAACATATAACGGCAGACCTCTCTGGGGAGCACATTCCATAGATTGGGCACCACCACAGAGAAAGCCCTCCTCCGGGTACTTACCCTCCTAATATCCTTCACAGAGGGTTCCCGGAGAAGGGCCTCTCCTGCTGATCTCAAGGAGGGGAGGGCACGTATGGACATAAGCGCTCCTTTAGGTAACCAGGACCCAAGCCATTAAAGGCTTTATAGGTAATAAGCTAGTATGGGTAAAGGTTGGGAACTGTGGGAGTCATGGTCCAAATATCTGGAGTTTACTATTACTGAAAAACAGAGTTCAGTTAGTAACAGGGAGATCTGGATTTTACTCTCCACTCTGCTCACTGGCAGCAAAAACCTAAGCATATAACTCAGAAATATGTCTCACTGTATTCAATCGGCTTATGTTTTGAATTGTGCACTGGCTGACCTGGGACCAACTGCCATGTTGCCCTGAGCTTTTAGGAGAACAGGTAGATATAAAAATAACACTAAATAGGAACTCAATGGGAAGTTGTAAGGCAAAGTATGATGGAAGTTATATATCGGTCTCTTTTACAGGATTACTGTAAAAGACATGTAAGATGCTCTGAAATGGAAAAGTCTCTTCATAAATATTATTTTTCATTATTTTTATTAGAAAATTAAGAATGGCTTCTGAAAAATCTTTCCCAAACTACTTAGTATTATCAAAGTTTATTTAAAGATAAAGACAAATAGCTAAATTGTGTGTCTACTTATCTATATACAGCCTCATTTCAATACTTTCAAATCAGAATTTTTAAGCCCCCAGTTGTGAGCTGACCATCTGCCAGCAGAACAGAACCATGAATAAATGCCCACCTCCATCAATGGACATAGGAGGGTTGTAGCACAGTAGAAAGGAAGGGACATTATATAACAAGAGCAGAAGTCTGCTTGAGCTACACTGGATTTAAGCCTTTGAGAACATGTAATCTGAGAAAACAAAGACACTTTTGTTCTCCAAATGCTGAAAGGAAAAGGTATATTATCAAAACTGAACACTTTAAAAACACTCCCACAATTTCCAGCACTTTTGAGTGCATATATCTAGATATCTCTATATAACTTACAAATTATTACATAAATATAATATACCCATTGATGGCCACAAAAGAAAACTTGTGGTCTTCATCAAGGGTATATTTACTGTTAAGATGCAGCTGTTATACCAGATAAGTCACCACAAATCCTACATACGCATTCAGAACAAGATACGAGTATATCCATTTCCTAATGAATAAGCATAAATATTGCCATTGATTGTTTGGATACTCTGGCTAGCATGATCAAATAATCTATAATGTTAAACAATTAACATATATAAAATTAAACTGTGCAATGTCCAGAGGAAACCCTGCCCCACCCCAGTATCATGACAAAAGGAGAGGCAGCTGCTTCAAACAGTGGATTTTGGATGTTATCAAGCAGAACAGAGTAGCAAAAAAAAAAAGCTCAGCTCACTGGGCCCTGTGAAAATGAACAGCTGGGATACAGCATAGTAGCTCCTGCTCATGCCAATTTATGCAGAAGAGCTTCTCAACAGATGGTTGGGAAAGAGGTTTCCATTTGAATTTTCCTCCTCAAGCACCCCAATGTTTTGGACTAGTCCGTATGATAGGACTTTATAGCCAAGCGGAAGAATGCCAATATACGGAATAAGGTGAAAACTGCAACCAACTTGAGGATATGCCGTGCATTAGCCAGAGATGAAACATGTGCAGTGATGTCAGTGACATTTTTCTGTATGAATCAACACAGTTATCATTGGAGTTGCCAGTCTCATTATGAAAGAACGTGTCAGTTGGGAAGAAAAGATTGGGTAGGAGATTGACATTTGGTTGGCCCACTAGTGACTATTCAGACTTTGGACTGGGCAGCAACGAAAATCAAAAGATCTGGACAGACGTGTGGTTTGTTTGAGGAGCCTGTTCCATTTGACTTCTGGTGCAAGTTAGCAATCAAATAACAACCTAATTTACCTATTGTCCAATCTGAATGTCAAACAACACTTTAAACCCTTTTGGTGAACATAACATCTGAAAAGGACTGTAGGTGGCGCAGTGGTTTAAACCACTGTGCTGCTGGGCTGGTTGATCGAAAGGTCGCCAGTTCAAATCAGCACAATGGGGTGAGTTCCCATTACCCTGTCCCAGCTCCTGCCAACCTTGCAGTTTGAAAGCATGCAACTGCAAGTAGATAAAAAGGTACCACTTTGGTGGGCAGGTAACAGCATTCCATGCACTTTGATGTTTAGTCATGCTGGCCACATGACCACGGAGACTGTCTGCGGAAAAGCACTGGCTCCCTTGGCTAGAAACGGAGATAAGCACCGCCACCTAGAGTCAGGCATGACTGGACTTAATGTCAAGGGGAAACCTTTACCTCTCCATGGATCACTGCCTTGTCATGGTGAAGGGGCTTGTGTAGCTCAATGAAGCTATGAGCTATGCTGTGCAGGGCCACCCAACACGGACAGAACATAGCAGAGAGCTCCAACAAAACGTGATCCACTGGAGAAGGAAATGGCAACCCTCTCCAGTATCTTTGCCATGAAAACCCCATGAACAGTACCAAAAGGCAAAAAGATATGACACCAGTAAGATGAGCCCCTCAGGTCGGAAGGTGTCCAATATGCTACTGGGGAAGAGAAGCAGGTTGCTTACCTGCAACTGATGTTCTTCGAGTGGCCATCTGTGCAGTCACACATATGGGTACTGTGCCTGCGCAGTGCCTTTGGCCGGAAGATTGACAGCTAACGGTTTTTGGCGGGAAGCTCCGCTCCCCTCCCCCATAGCCTATAAAGAGAGGAGCGTCCGCCATTTGTTCAGTCTTTGATGACCGAATGTGCGCCCCCTTGTGGAAAAATTCTCAGTATGAGATAGGAAAAAAGGGATCGGTACCAAGAAAAAATGGGAAACTTTTGGTACCGATGAATGAGTCCACTCACCGACACCGAGCGGGGCCGGCAGGTGGGTTGTGTGACTGCACAGATGGCCACTCAAAGAACATCAGTTACAGGTAAGCAACCTGCTTTTCTTCGTCGTGGCCTCTGTGCATCACACATATGGGTAGATTAACAAGCTTACCATCAAAGGAGGAGGGAAGGTGTCCTCATTGTAGGACGGAGGAGAGTACAGCTCCACCGAAGGAGCAGTCCCGTCGAGCCTGAACATCGAGACGGTAGTGCCTGGCGAAGGTGCAAGGGTTCGCCCAAGTAGCGGCTCAGCAGACGTCATCGATCGGAACTCCGGATGCGAATGCAGAAGACGTAGCGACAGCTCTAGTGGAATGGCTTCGGGGAACTGTAGGCAGTTCGAGCTTAGCTAACTGATAGCACAAGATAATAGTGTGGACTATCCACTTAGAGAGCCTTTGAGGTGTGACTGGGTCACCCTGATCTCTAGCCAAATATTTAATGAACAGTTTATTGGATCGCCGAATAGACTCCGTTCGCGATCGATAAAAGGCTAAACAATGCTGAACGTCGAGGGAGTGCAAAGATCTTTCCAAGGGATTCGACGGCGATGGAAAAAAGGCAGGCAATACAATGTCTTGTCCTGTATGGAAAGGTGGAGACTTTGGGCAAGAAAGATGGGTCGAGACGTAAAACGACCTTTTCTCTGTGGAAGTTTAGATAAGGAGGGTCGATGCGGAGGGCACAAAGCTCACTGGCTCTCCGGGCTGACGTGACAGCTACAAGGAACACCGTCTTCCACGAAACTAATCGGAGATCCACAGTCGCCAAAGGTTCAAAGGGGGCCTTCATAAGGGCCTGTAGAACTACAGAAAGGCTCCACGTGGGCATAATCGGTCTAATCGATGGATTAAGAGTATACAGTCCTTTCAAAAATCTCTTGAGAATAGGATGAGAAAATAGGGATGATCCGTCGACTAAGCCACGGTAGTAGGCTATTACAGCCGTATACACTTTAATAGAAGAAGGCTTCAGTCCAGAGTGATGCAACTCCAGAAGGAACTGAAGAATTTGTTCAATTGATGAGACAAGTGGGGAGAACGAATGAGACTCGGCAAAGGTGGAAAACCGTTTCCATTTAGCCGTATATGACTTTCTTGTGGATGGCTTTAGAGCAGAGTCGATAATATGCTGAATCTCAGGGTGCAAGAGCATT